AGATAGGGCATTTTATCGGATTGGGCACGTTGCACGTCGCTGCAGTTGTTGTTGTTGGCGCTTATCGCAATGGACATTAACATGAGGCCTGTCAGCATTAGTTTAAAGAGCCCACCCCCCTATCCCTCCCCCACCCCCCCGCGCTCAGCTTGTGTGCCAATGCGACATATGTGGGTCAGGCCAAAGCGGAATGTCACCAAAATGATGTGCCAACTGGCGATAAAGAGGAGGGGCTGTGGGGGTAGTCATTCCAAGCGGATTTATGACCCACAAGCGCCTTATCATTTATGCAGGCCATGCAAATGAAGTTGCCTCCAAAAATAAAGCGCTGCAAAACTGCGCGAGTTTTAATAATTGATCAAGCAAAGCTCTGGAGGGCCGGGCGGGTACGGAGGTTACGAGGTGGAGGGGTGGCTGTTAGAGGGGAGTTGATGCGGCAAAGGAAGCGTGTGAAATCCCATTTGGCAAATGGCCAAAACGGGCCTTGAGGCAAATCAACCTGTGACTCAGTGTCGGGGAAAAACTCGATTCGCTTTTCGCGTTTTTCGCGGCCCACCAAAGTAGGGCAAGAAGAAGAAGAAGCAGCAGCAGCAACATCAGAAAACTGGTTTACTGCTGCCTGTTGTTGAGTTTTCCACTTGACACGTTGGCCTGCTTTCTCGCCCAGCTGCAGGATCATCAGCAGCAGCAGCAGCAACAGCAGCAGCATCAGCGAGAGGACATTACACAATCATTTCCAGGCAGCGCTTCCAGCTGCGAGGGTTGCTTAACAGGGTGTGTCATGCATGACGTCCACGCCGCCGACGCCAAAATAAAACGAGCAGGAAGGTGCAGCTTCGTCACGTCGCAGATGTAATACCCTTGTAGGCCGAACCGAACAAAAAAAGTGTTTCATACAAGAAACTAATTTTCGACAGATTGTTCCTATGACAGATATATGATATAGAGGTCCGATGTAGATAAGATTTTGCATATATATGAGACGCAAAGTGAAACCTTGAAATGTCGAGTTTGATTAAGATATCTTGATAAACACAAAAGTTTTTCATACAAGAACCTCATGCTTGAGCGATCTTTCCTATGGCAGCTGTATGATAAGTGGTCCGATGTTGATAGGATTTTGCATATATATGAGGAGAATAGTAAAGCTAATAATTGCCGAGTTTGGTTACGATATCTTGAAAAACAAAAAAGTTTTTCATACAAGAAACTACTTTTGGACCGATTCTTCCATTGGCAACTATATGATATAGTGATCCGATCTGGCCAGTTCCGACATATGTGCTGCATGCAACAGAAAAAGGGACGTATGGAAAGTTTCATGACGATAGCTGTAAAACTGAGAGTCTAGTTCGCCTAGAAACAGACAGATATACGGACATGGAGGCTATATCGACTCGGCTGCTGATACTGATCAAGAATATATATACTTTATAGGGCCGATGATGTGTTTTTCTGTGCGTTACACATTTAGAGACAAAATGATAACACCCTTGGCAAAGGCTATGAAAAGGAGCTAAACAAGTTGAGCTTCAGCTGCAGTTGTGAGCGCACGACTAGCAGATACCCTTTTAGGACACAAAACGCAAAAAAAACTATTTCTATATAAATTAATCCTACATATTCGGAGCTAAGAGTCGAAATATACCCAGGTTCTCGCCTCCAGTTGCCTTAATATCAAAGATAGCGTAAGATCGATATTTATCGATTTGAAGTAAAGAGGCAAAAGATTCGAAAATCCCATTATTTACTTCTGCACCAATGCTGTATATTCGAGCAGCTATATAGACATATAGATAGACCTGATTAAAGCTAAATTCAACCTGATTGAAAATTTAATGTGCATAAAGACTCGGCCATGGCAATATACCCTGTGCTTAGCAATTTTTTAAAGGGTATTGGGTATTGAAATGAAAAGCATGTGAGAGCATTCAGAAACATTTTCAACGCCTCGAGGGTTGTCGCTGGGCTGTGTGTGTGTGGGTGTGTAAGTGTGTGTGAGGGCTTTTGGGTGTATGTGTGTGCAAATGTGTATGTGTATCTGTGTGTGTGTGCGTGAGTTAGTTCGTTTATTTGACTCTTGTCATAAAAGTCAGAAACAGAATGGCGACTGGGTGGTTGGGTGGGGCTCTGGCCTCGCCTGGCATTTTGGGGGTAGCTAAAGGCAAACAAAAGTATTTTGAGGCGATGATATCAGCAGAAAACCGAAACAGCTCGCCTGCATATTGGCCATCAAGGATGTGCGCGACTGATGTGTGTCCTTTATGCAAAATCGATAGTTAGCCTGGCGCAGCTGGCTGTCAAAACTATGAAGTCACAATTTGCACACTTGCAATAAGCAAAAAAAAAAAGAAGGAAAATCAATAAGCACACCTCTGATTGCGTATACGCAGCGTGGTACAGTTGGGCAAACTGTGTGCTTGGGAATTGATTAAAAATGCATGCAGCTGGGCAGTTAGCACAGCTTGACACTGACGTTGACAGCAGCTGTCAAAATCTTCGAATGTCAAACCAAATTGTTGATTTCAAATCAAGACTGCAAACAAGTCTTTTGAGAAACTATTATGAGAATGTGTGAAGGCAAGCAAGATAAAATTGAAATACGAGGATAGATAGTAAAATCAGGCTGAGATTGTATCCTAAGGATAGGAATAGATAGAATCCGTATGATGCTATTTTGAGCACAGGATAGTAGCCTAAAGATATGATAGAATCCTCAGTATAGGATAGTAAAAGGATTGTATCCTCAAGATAGAATAGTGTATGTTTAGGATATATTTCTAGGATCCAATTCTGTATCCTGAGGATAGAATATAATCCCCAGGATAGCATATTCTCCGAATAGACTGTGTCCTCAGGATAAGATAGAATCCTCAGGTTAGGATGGTTATCTCAGGATAGTTTTGTACCTTTAGGATAGGATACAATACCTTGGAGTAAATCATCAGAAAGAGATAGGGTTTTTAGAATTGGAAACAATAAGATAGTTTGTATTCTACGAATAGGATAGTACTCTATGGATAAGATATAATCTTAGCGTGCTGTTCTGAGTGTAAAGATCATATTCTATCCTTAGGATACAATCCACACAGAATAGGATATTATCCCCCGAATAAGAGTGTATCCTCAAAATAGGATAGTTATTTCAGAAGAGGATAGTGTTCGTATCCTAAGGATAAGAAAGTATGCTGAGGATAAAATATAATCTTATTCTGAGTATATGATTGTGTTCTAGGGATTGGACAGAATCCTTCAGATACGATAGTATTCTACGTATAGGATTGTATCCTCAGGATAGGATATATGAAGGAAAGAACCCTCAGAAGAGGATAGTGCTCTCAGAATATGACAGTGTGCTTGGGTTACGATGAGTAAAGGATAGAAGAAGATCCTCAGGAGTATACCATACTGAGTATACTAAGCTGTGCACCAGGGCGCAATTATATTGACTGGATTGACGTTCCAATAAAAAGGTTAAGGTAGATTGAATACCCCTTTTTAAGCTGCCAAGTCGGAACAATAGATAATATAATCAAATCCTTTATCAGAATCTCCAAAGTCTTAATCTTCTCCACTCTTCCAGATACATTTTTATTAAAGTGCTTTGTCTTTACTTTAATGAAGCCCACGCTTAGCCGGGCTAATTGAATATCTTTTGTGAATTTCATTTCGATTTGCTTGAGCTGCATGCATAAATTCCTCTGGCCAATTGATATGCACAGAAATCAACATAAATCAGAAATGTGCGCATGCAAAAGTCGTTCGTACGCAAAGAATTCTGAAAAGGGCAGCAAAAACATAGTGACCCACAAATATCTATATATAAATCGGGAATTGTAGCACTCGTGTGGCTCCATTTGAAATTCCAATCGCCTGACAGATGTTGATGCTCTTCCTCGTTTCGTTTTTGTTATATATTCGACAGCTCTTCAGGTTTGATTGGGTTCAAGAACCTGCAGATTTATGCCACGACTTGCGCCTTAATTAACATTGTGGGAAAAAATGCGATTGCGAACGGAAATCCAAAATTCGTTGCACACTTTTCGGACTCTAGATTTCAATTTAAGTCTTCAAGTTAAAGAAAAAAGCATAAATACAATTTGGTATTCGGAACGCAACAGTTCCTGATGCAAAATAAGCTCAGTAGAGTTAATTTTGTAACAATAAAATATCATTTAAAAAGGGCCTCTATATGCGATTCTCATGAATTTAACTTAGGCTTGCAGCTCTTCATTTTTTAAATATTGATTCTTTTGAATTTGGTCTCTTCGTCTTTCTCTCTCTCTCCCTCTCTCTCTCTCTCTCCCTCTCTCCCTCTCTCTCTCTATCTCTTTCTCTCTCGGCAAGTTTTGAACAGGGCTCTTATATGCGATTCTCATCAAGTCAATTTAGTCTTGTAGGTCTTTATTCCTTGGCTATGGATTCTTTTGCATTCGATCTCTTTCCCTATCTCTCTCATTTTGTTCCTCTCTCCTTCTTCTTTGATGCGAACGTTTCTTCAAAGAGGGCCTCTATATGCGATTCTCATCAAGTCAACTTTGTCGTGAATTATGGATCATTCTTTGATTATGCATTCTCTTGAACTCGATCTCTCTATCTTTCTCTCTCTGCCCCCATTTCTCTACCATTTTATGCCCCTTTCCTTCTTCTGATTTCCTTCTCCTTCTTATATCTGGTTACATAAATTCAGATTCAAAGACTTCTTTAGCTTTCACTAATTATATGACTTTTGTTTTAAATTTCCACCTGTTCAACTTACATTGAAGTGTATGATTATATGGATACGTTTCGCTTAGAGGCAGCTTTGCGTTCATTTCCATTACGTAGCGGGTGTTCAATCCTTTCAAGCCCTTAATTAAGCCATTTAATATGCCGAACAGGCATCAAAACAGACGCCTAATAAGTTTACCCGCATCGTATTATTAAGTCTGCCCCTCCAATAATTATGTGGGCAATATAAATAGTGAAATGCTTGGAGCCAGCGCAATTAGTTGTACAAAATGTATCCGAAGTATCTGAGCAGCGACTATCCGCTGGACAAGCATCTCTTCTTTGTGACCCGATACTCGTTTGGCCTGCTGGGTTTACGCTTCGAGCGGGCGTCCACCTTGTGGTCCACGTTGTGGCTGATCTTTAACTTTGCGAATCTGGCGCACTGCTGCCAGGCGGAGTTCAGCTTCGGTTGGCATTACATGAGCACCAGCCCGGTGGATGCCATGGATGCCTTCTGCCCGCTGGCCTGCAGCCTGACGACGCTCTTCAAGATGGGCTGCATGTGGCGCAGTCGCGTCGAGGTCGCCGCCCTCATCCGGCGCATTCGCCAGCTGACCGAGAAGGAGCGGAATGCGGAGCGAATGGAGTTGAAGCGTACCTATTATCGCATGGCCACGTTGCTGGCCATGCTCATCTTTACGTTGGGCTGCATCAATACGGGCGCCTTTGTGCTGCGCTCCATCTGGGAGATGTGGGCGCGTCGTCAGCTGCCCTTCAAATACGACATGCCCTTTCGTATGCAGTAGGTGCAATTAGTCTCGCTGATATTTCTCCACTTCAACTTATCTACTTCGCTTAGCTTTCCAGCTGTGGCACATCGGTTGCCTCTATATCCTCTGGCCTATCTCTACTCCACGTGGAGCGGCCAAATAACTGTCTATGCCTTTGTTGGCACCGACGGCTTCTTCTTTAGCTTCACGCTCTATGTAACATTCCTGCTCAAAGCGCTGCAAATGGACCTGCAACGCGTACTGAAACCAGTTCAAGGTGAGATCTAATCAACACTCATTTTAAGCTGGCTTAAGGGGAGCTCGAATTCACCGTAACTCCATTTCAAGGTGAGCTCTCACTTCCTCTCTAGCTATTTAAGCTATTTCGGGTTGAGTTCTATCACCCCAGCTTCTTAAATCAATTAAAGATGAGTTTTAATCCCCTCTTCAGCAATTTAAGCTAGTTTAAGGTGAATTTTAATCCACCATAGCTTCTTAGACCGTTTCAAGGTGAGTTCAATGTACAATTCAGCTATTTATGCCTGTTTAAGGTGAGTCTTGAACAACCTCAGCTGCTTATCATGTTTAAGGTGAGATCTAATTCCCTCTCCAGCTATTTAAGCTTTTTCGAGGTGAGTTCCACTCCCCACTCCAGCTACTTAAGCTAGTTCAAGTTGAATTCTACTCTCCACTCCAGCTACTTAAGCCACTTCGCGGTGAGTTCTAATCCTTTTCAGTTACTTAAGCCAGTTCGTGGTGAGTTCTAAGTTCCTTCAGCTTCCGCTCTTGTTTCCCCTTGCAGATCCCAGTCCACGTGAATGCAAACGTTGCTGCCAACAGCTGCGAAATATTATCGATCGTCACAATGAGATCGTTGGCATTGTTCAACGCTTTTCGGTGATTATGGCCGCGCCCACTTTTGCCCAGTTTCTATCGGCCAGCTTGGTGATAGCCACAAGTGTTATCGATATACTGCTGGTGAGCATTTGATACCACATTCATTCATCGATATACTGCTTTAATACCATAATTCTGAGAGAGAGATAGCTATATTCTATAAAGTATACACTAGCAAAAGTTCCCTTCCTGTAAGTACAAACTTGGATATTTAATTCCTTTTCAAAGGTAAAGCCTTGCCTTTAGGGTATCTTCCCGTTGGGCAGCCTCCTCATACATGTATTTCCTTCAAAATATTCACCTTCATTTGACTTTTGGCAGTTTTCCGGCTACAATATTATACGCTATGTGGTCTATGCTGGCACCGTAAGCTCCTGTTTATTTCTCTACTGTTACGGAGGCACCGAAATGTCAACAGCGGTGGGTTATGCTCATTATATATATAATATATATGTATCGGCTATGCATTACAGAGTCTGGAGCTGGGCGAGGCCGCCTACAATAGCCATTGGTATCTGTGGAATCGTGCGGTGCGTCACCGTGTCTATCTGCTCATCCTGCGCGCCCAGCGACCCATTACGGTGCAGGTGCCCTTCTTTGCGCCCTCCCTGCCCGTCTTTACAGCGGTGCGATCCTGTGTGCCACCGGATTTACAGCAAGGACTCAGCCTTTTTTTTCTTCTCCACTTGCAGGTCATCAAGTTTACGGGCTCCATTGTGGCGCTGGCCAAGACAATACTCTAGCGGGCAACGCAATTGATTAACAAAATTGCAACAAGCTGGCGCCACAAGCAGCTGCAACAAGAAGCTCAGTCGAGATGTATATAGCACCCAAGTGGGCGTGGCACTTAACACTCGCCCCGAAAGTATGCAGCACAGCTCTTCAAGCACTCGACTTGTTTATCAGTTGGATTAAGTGCGAGGTTCGTCCATTCAATTGTGCACAGACATGAAATCAATTATTGAAAAATCTCAGAGTATATATTTGCCTTGTATCTATATAATTAAGCTTGAATTTGGCTTGTTTCAAATAGTCTAAGCCAGAAGGGAACTACAACTCTTTAAAGGAACTTCTCGAATAACTCGAGTCTTTGGTGAAAAATAAAACTTCTTGAAAGGACAATATCTCGAATCTTTGAGGAAACAAAAAAAAACTTCTTTAAAGGAGAATTCTGTCAATTCTTTGAAGAAATAATAAAAGTGCGTTTCTTAGGATTCGAACTCGGCCTTTCACGCATTCCCTTGAACATATTGAAGAGTAGAAAGAAAAACCCTTCTCTTTCCTGCCCTCAATCTTTCTTTTTAATGCCAAATTGTAGTTTAAGTTTTATTAAAGTATTCTGTAGCACAATCTGAATTTGATGTGAACTCACTTTTCTAGCCTTTGGAAAGGATTAGCTGCTGGCACAAAGGTTCTATTTAATTCACAGCAGGTGGGCAACTCGGTTATTTGCATTTGCTCGAGTTCATATAAGAAAATTTGCATTTGGCTTTTGGTCATTTCCACAGCTGCTGGCGATGACGTCAAAAGACGTCTGTAACGAGGACAACAACAGGACAAAGCAAAGCATGGCACACACTCTCTGTGAGCTGCTTGATTAAAAACCAACTAAATGGGCAGCTCCGAAGGGGTCAGCACTTGCCCATCGGGCATATGGAGCGTATACGTAACGAGCTTGACTGAAAAGAAGGCAAGCCAAACATTAACACGCCGAAGTTGAAAGAGAAGTAAAGCTTGAAAAACAATCAAAAGTGGTCGACTAGGCAATACCCTGCAGTCAGCTTTTATCTATACGCACATTCTTGATTAGCTTCGGTGCCTGTTGTCCGATCGTCATAAGGTTTTCAGGTATGGAAGGAGTAAAGGAAAGTATCTAAATATCATTAGTATTAAATATTCTTTATATGCAACTAACATACCAGAGCCTACATTTAAAATTTTGCGCATTTAGCTCTTATAATTCTCGAATTATGCCCCAAAGATAATGTCTCAAAATCGATATTTATCGATAACAAGAAAATGGCAGGATTCATCAGAAAAAAGTTAAATGATAAGCACGTTTTTAATATATATGTATATATATATCATACGAGAGTATACGTTACAAATTTTGCTCATTTTGCTCTTATGATACTCGAAATATGCCCTAAAGATAATGTCTCATAATCGATATTTATCGATAATAAGAAAATGGCAGGAGTTATCTAAATATACCATATGAGAGTCTAGATACCAAATTTTGCGCATTTACCTCTTTTAATTCTCGAAATATGCCTAAAAAACAATGTCTCTAAATCGATATTTATCGTTATTAAGAAAATTGCAGGAGTTATCGAAAAAGCGTTGAATGAAAAGATCGTTTGGCATATGCCACAGAAGAGTATATGTTGTTTATCATATATATATATATAAACAAGTACTCAAGCAACTTGATTGTTTTTGTTTTTGTTGCATGCTGCACTGATCCCGGCCCTTGAGCTAGAGTCCCCTCTTCAGTTAACGTGTTAGCCATAAATTGATTTGATTTTGTTCCTACGATTACGTAGAATTCACTGATTAGATTTACGTGTGCGTGCCAAGATTACCGAACAGCTCGTCCACTCGGACCTTTCAGTGCAACTACGCCTGCTGATCTGGGCAAACACAACTCGATAGAGTCCAGCGTGCAATGGGCCAATATTATAGAATCTGTTTGCTGCTAGCCAGCGTGCTACTACTGCTGGCTGTAGTTCAAGCCGAAAAAGGTGGGTTCAAGAGCTGAGCGTCTCTCCGCAGATCAGTGGAAGATTCAAGAAATCTTAATGGAAGAATCTGTAGAAGTTTCAAGAAATCTCAAAGGAAGATTCAGTGGAAGATTCAAGAAATCTCAAATATTTTAAAGACAATGTGAAGTGCAGCAAGAGTGTGCCCTACAATTACCTCTCGAGTTAAGTTTTTGGGAATGAATTTTTAGGATAGTGTTTACCGAGTTCCTAGAGTAGGAGGAGAAGAAGGTTTTCAGCTTAAGCCTCAGGCAACACAGTGTGAGAAGAGTTATTTACAAATTTCACAATGAAATCTCCAACATGAAGTCCCAGTTAGAAGTGTTTCAAGTCATTAAGACAAATAAACAAAGCGCAAGCGAGTTCGAATCCAGGCAAGTTTAGGAAAAGAAGAAGGAGGTTTCTAGCTTAAGCCCCAGGCGAGATTGTGTGTGAATAATAATTTACACATTTCACAATAATATCTTCAAAGTTTCTGCTGGGTTTGAACCAGCGACCTTTTGCTTGTAAAGAAATATAAAGAAAAGTTATTAGAAATAAGAATATTAAATAAACTTATATTGAAATTGATAATTGTTGCTGGGTTTGAACCAGCGACCAAACGCTTATACTGAGTAAATATTCCCAACCCTGCTTCCAAGACCCTGAACTCATAGAGAAGCGACTAACACGTCCAGTTGACAGCTCCAGGGTCACCTTACGGTGGTGCCCATATATATTGCGTCCACTTATCTCGAAGGAAGGAAGGTTTATGGTTAGGCTGAATTAAATTTAATATACAACACATTTTCAGCAGCTAGACGAAGTTTGTTGTTTTTAGCTTAGATTGCAATTAATTGGCTGCTTATCGGGGCCATAAATCGATAGAGACCAGTTGATAAGCCCATGGCCAGAGGGAAGATTAGTGAAGACTCCATTCAATTGCAGACAAACAACATGCTCGCTCCGCATCGCGCGTCTCGCCGGCACTGAAGAACGTGCAGGAGACGGAGAGCAGCTACTGGCGGGAGAAGGCGCAAAGCACGCTGGCGGCCAAGTTGGCGGCGCTGGAGGCGTTGCAAACGAAGCAGGCGAAGAATGTGATCATGTTTCTGGGCGATGGCATGTCCGTGCACACGGTGACAGCCACACGGAATCTGTTGGGCGACAGCTCCGAGAAGGTGTACTTCGAGCAGTTCCCCTACACGGGTCTGGCCAAGACGTACTGCGTCAATCGGCAGGTGGCCGACTCGGCCTGCACCTCGACCGCCTATCTGGGCGGTGTCAAGGGCAACTATGGCACCATTGGGGTCAATGCGAATGTGCCCCGTTACGATTGCAAGGCTGCCTATGTGGCTGAGGATCAGGTGGACAGCATTGCCAAGTGGGCGCAGGATGCGGGCAAGGATGCCGGCTTTGTGACCACGGCACGTGTCACACACGCCTCTCCAGCGGGCATGTATGCCCACATTGCCGATCGCAACTGGGAGAACGATGCGGAGGTGAGCGAGGCGCAGTGTGATCCCGAGGAGAGCATCGACATCGCCCGCCAGCTGGTCGAATGGGAGGTGGGCAAGCGGCTAAAGGTCATTTTGGGTGGCGGCAAGCAGAACTTTCTGGACCGCAGCATGCGCGATGAGGTGGGCCATCCCGGCTATCGCCAGGACGGACGCAATCTGATCCAGGACTGGCTGGCCGACAAGCAGGCACAGAATGCCAGCGCCAGCTACGTCTGGAGTCGCAAGGGCCTGACCGAGCTGGACCTGGACAACACAGACTATCTGCTCGGCCTGTTTGCCAACGGCCATCTGCCCTATGACGGCGATCGGGCACGCAGTCCCAGGAACAGCCATCTAGCGGATCCCTCGCTCACCGAGCTGACGGAGGCGGCGCTGCGCGTGCTCCAGCGCAACGAGGCCGGCTACTTCCTGTTCGTGGAGGGCGCACGCATCGATATGGCGCATCACTCGAACTATGCGCGCCGCTCGCTGGAGGACACCGCCGAGTTCGCGCGCGCCGTGCAGCGGGCACGCGAAATGACCGACGAGTCGGATACCCTGATTGTGGTTACCTCGGATCACTCGCACGTCATGACCATCAACGGTTACCCGGTGAGCTGCCCAGTCCACTTTGCCTGTTACTCTGATTATATTCTCTTCTGGGTAATCCTTGCAGCTGCGCGAGCAGGCGATTACGGGCCTGGCCAATAAGCTGGCCGACGACGAGCTGCCCTACAATATACTCTCGTATGCCAATGGACCCGGTTTTGATGGCACCTACAACAAGGCCGAGGGCCGCAAACGCATCACCCAACAGCACACGGAGCATCCGCTCTATGTGAGCCCCGCGATGGTGCCCCTCAACGCGGATACCCACGGTGGCGACGACGTGGCCGTCTTTGCCTCCGGGCCATATGCCCAGTACTTTAGCGGCAACTATGAGCAGAGCAACATTCCCGCCCTGATGGCAAGGGCGGCTGCCATCGGACCCTATGCCAATGTCTGGCCCTAGATGGAGTGCGTGTGCGAGTGCGAGTGTGTGTGCGAGTGCGAGTGTGTGTGGAGTTGTATTTGCCTGTTTTTGTCAATTCGAGTGGCGAAATGCAATTAAAACGTGAGCAAAATTGCTAAATGCACTTCTCATGCCAGTTTTGTTTTATATACTCTTCCCATTTGGGGCATGCAGATTCTGTCACGAACTATGTAACGCAGGGAGCACAGCCCCTCCCTATTCCAAGTTAAATTGTGGAAGGATTGAACATATATTTGGCTTAGATTCCCATATCTAATAGTTTTCAAAGGATTTATTAGCTAACAAGTAAGAGGTTCTAGTCGGAAGCTCCCGACTAGGCGATACCCTGAACCCTCTTCTTCCAACATCAAATGCATATATATATTCTATTTTAGAAGCTTTATGTCAAGTTTGGTGACTCAAGCTCTTATTATTTACCAAAATTGCCCAAAAAACAGGATATCGATATCGATTTTTATCGATTGCTTGGAAATGGAGTAAATTATCGATTATCGGAAACAAACTCGATCTGCGCAGGCACTAGGAGCATCTACATCATCTGCATCATCCTTGCGTTCATACATACGGACGGACGGACGGACGGACGGACGGACGGACGGACGGACGGACGGAGAGACGGACGGACAGATAGACGGACAGACGGACATGGCTAGATCGACTCGGCTATTGTTGGTGTTCAAGAATATATATACTTTATGCGGTCGGAGTTGCTTCCTTCTGCCTGTTACATACATTTGGCTTTCGCACAAATACAATATACCCTTATACCCATTTTTAATGGGTTCAGGGTATAAAAAGCCAAACTTCGTGAAAATCGGATGAGATTTGGCCGAGTTATGGGGGTCGTAATTTTTGACCCATGTCTATATACGAATCTTGGGGTAAGATTTGGACATGAATTTCGACCAAAAAATCGGTGTCGAGATTTGAATGCCACATTAATCTAGAGGGAAAACCATGAAGAAAAAGCCAAACTTCGTGAAAATCTGATGAGATTTGGCCGAGATATGGGGGTGGTACATTTTGACCCATGTCTATATACGAATCTTGGGGTAAGATTTGGACATGAATTTCGACCAAAAAATCGGTGTCGAGATTTGAATGCCACATTTATCTAGAGGGAAAACCATGAAGAAAAAGCCAAACTTCGTGAAAATCGGATGAGATTTGGCCGAGATATGGGGGTGGTAAATTTTGACCCATGTCTATATACGAATCTTGGGGTAAGATTTGGACATGAATTTCGACCAAAAAATCGGTGTCGAGATTTGAATGCCACATTAATCTAGAGGGAAAACCATGAAGAAAAAGCCAAACTTCGTGGAAATCGGATGAGATTTGACCGAGTTATGGGGTGGTAATTTTTGACCCATGTCTATATACGAATCTTAGGGTGAGATTTGGACATGAATTTCGACCAAAAAATCGGTGTCGAGATTTGAATGCCACATTAATCTAGAGGGAAAACCATAAAGAAAAAGCCAAACTTCGTGAAAATCTGATGAGATTTGGCCGAGATATGGGGGTGGTACATTTTGACCCATGTCTATATACGAATCTTGGGGTAAGATTTGGACATGAATTTCGACCAAAAAATCGGTGTCGAGATTTGAATGCCACATTTATCTAGAGGGAAAACCATGAAGAAAAAGCCAAACTTCGTGAAAATCGGATGAGATTTGGCCGAGATATGGGGGTGGTACATTTTGACCCATGTCTATATACGAATCTTGGGGTAAGATTTGGACATGAAATTCGTCAACAAATCGGTGTCGAGATTTAAATGCCACATTAATCTAGAGGGAAAACCATGAAGAAAAAGCCAAACTTCGTGAAAATCTGATGAGATTTGGCCGAGATATGGGGGTGACACATTTTGACCCATGTCTATATACGAATCTTGGGGTAAGATTTGGACATGAATTTCGACCAAAAAATCGGTGTCGAGATTTGAATGCCACATTAATCTAGAGGGAAAACCATGAAGAAAAAGCCAAACTTCGTGGAAATCGGATGAGATTTGACCGAGTTAAGGGGGTGGTAATTTTTGACCCATGTCTATATACGAATCTTGGGGTGAGATTTGGACATGAAATTCGACCAAAAAATCGGTGTCGAGATTTAAATGCCACATTAATCTAGAGGGAAAACCATGAAGAAAAAGCCAAACTTCGTGAAAATCTGATGAGATTTGGCCGAGATATGGGGGTGGTACATTTTGACCCATGTCTATATACGAATCTTGGGGTAAGATTTGGACATGAATTTCGACCAAAAAATCGGTGTCGAGATTTGAATGCCACATTAATCTAGAGGGAAAACCATGAAGAAAAAGCCAAACTTCGTGAAAATCGGATGAGATTTGGCCGAGATATATGGGTGGTAAATTTTGACCCATGTCTATATATGAATCTTGGGGTAAGATTTGGACATGAAATTCGACCAACAAATCGGTGTCGAGATTTAAATGCCACATTAATCTAGAGGGAAAACCATGAAGAAAAAGCCAAACTTCGTGAAAATCTGATGAGATTTGGCCGAGATATGGGGGTGACACATTTTGACCCATGTCTATATACGAATCTTGGGGTAAGATTTGGACATGAATTTCGACCAAAAAATCGGTGTCGAGATTTGAATGCCACATTAATCTAGAGGGAAAACCATGAAGAAAAAGCCAAACTTCGTGAAAATCTGATGAGATTTGGCCGAGATATGGGGGTGTTAAATTTTGACCCATGTCTATATACGAATCTTGGGGTAAGATTTGGACATGAAATTCGACCAAAAAATCGGTGTCGAGATTTAAATGCCACATTAATCTAGAGGGAAAACCATGAAGAAAAAGCCAAACTTCGTGAAAATCTGATGAGATTTGGCCGAGATATGGGGGTGGTACATTTTGACCCATGTCTATATACGAATCTTGGGGTAAGATTTGGACATGAATTTCGACCAAAAAATCGGTGTCGAGATTTGAATGCCACATTTATCTAGAGGGAAAACCATGAAGAAAAAGCCAAACTTCGTGGAAATCGGATGAGATTTGGCCGAGATATATGGGTGGTAAATTTTGACCCATGTCTATATATGAATCTTGGGGTAAGATTTGGACATGAAATTCGACCAACAAATCGGTGTCGAGATTTAAATGCCACATTAATCTAGAGGGAAAACCATGAAGAAAAAGCCAAACTTCGTGAAAATCTGATGAGATTTGGCCGAGATATGGGGGTGACACATTTTGACCCATGTCTATATACGAATCTTGGGGTAAGATTTGGACATGAATTTCGACCAAAAAATCGGTGTCGAGATTTGAATGCCACATTAATCTAGAGGGAAAACCATGAAGAAAAAGCCAAACTTCGTGAAAATCTGATGAGATTTGGCCGAGATATGGGGGTGTTAAATTTTGACCCATGTCTATATACGAATCTTGGGGTAAGATTTGGACATGAAATTCGACCAAAAAATCGGTGTCGAGATTTAAATGCCACATTAATCTAGAGGGAAAACCATGAAGAAAAAGCCAAACTTCGTGAAAATCTGATGAGATTTGGCCGAGATATGGGGGTGGTACATTTTGACCCATGTCTATATACGAATCTTGGGGTAAGATTTGGACATGAATTTCGACCAAAAAATCGGTGTCGAGATTTGAATGCCACATTTATCTAGAGGGAAAACCATGAAGAAAAAGCCAAACTTCGTGGAAATCGGATGAGATTTGACCGAGTTATGGGGGTCGTAATTTTTGACCCATGTCTATATACGAATCTTGGGGTAAGATTTGGACATGAATTTCGACCAAAAAATCGGTGTCGAGATTTGAATGCCACATTAATCTAGAGGGAAAACCATGAAGAAAAAGCCAAACTTCGTGGAAATCGGATGAGATTTGACCGAGTTATGGGGGTCGTAATTTTTGACCCATGTCTATATACGAATCTTGGGGTAAGATTTGGACATGAATTTCGACCAAAAAATCGGTGTCGAGATTTAGATGCCACATTAATCTAGAGGGAAAACCATGAAGAAAAAGCCAAACTTCGTGAAAATCGGATGAGATTTGACCGAGTTATGGGGGTCGTAATTTTTGACCCATGTCTATGTACGAATCTTGGGGTAAGATTTGGACATGAATTTCGACCAAAAAATCGGTGTCGAGATTTAGATGCCACATTAATCTAGAGGGAAAACCATGAAGAAAAAGCCAAACTTCGTGAAAATCTGATGAGATTTGGCCGAGATATGGGGGTGGTACATTTCGACCCATGTCTATATACGAATCTTGGGGTAAGATTTGGACATGAATTTCGACAAAAAAATCGGTGTCGAGATTTGAATGCCACATTTACCTAGAGGGAAAACCATGAAGAAAAAGCCAAACTTCGTGAAAATCGGATGAGATTTGGCCGAGATATGGGGGTGGTAAATTTTGACCCATGTCTATATACGAATCTTGGGGTAAGATTTGGACATGAATTTCGACCAAAAAATCGGTGTCAAGATTTGAATGCCACATTAATCTAGAGGGAAAACCACGAAGAAAAAGCCAAACTTCGTGAAAATCTGATGAGATTTGGCCGAGATATGGGGGTGGTAAATTTTGACCCATGTCTATATACGAATCTTGGGGTAAGATTTGGACATGAAATTCGACCAAAAAATCGGTGTCGAGATTTAAATGCCACATTAATCTAGAGGGAAAACCATGAAGAAAGAGCCAAACTTCGTGAAAATCTGATGAGATTTGACCGAGTTATGGGGGTGGTACATTTTGACCCATGTCTATATACGAATCTTGGGGTAAGATTTGGACATGAATTTCGACCAACAAATCGGTGTCGAGATTTGAATGCCACATTAATCTAGAGGGAAAACCATGAAGAAAAAGCCAAACTTCGTGGAAATCGGATGAGATTTGACCGAGTTATGGGGGTCGTAATTTTTGACCCATGTCTATATACGAATCTTGGGGTAAGATTTGGACATGAATTTCGACCAAAAAATCGGTGTCGAGATTTGAATGCCACATTTATCTAGAGGGAAAACCATGAAGAAAAAGCCAAACTTCGTGAAAATCGGATG